CAACCTGCATTTTTTATCCAATTAGCCAATGACATCTACCTGGGTTGGTGTGACCAGCACCGCCCAGCCAGAGGCCTTCGATTTCCCCCCCCATTATGTAAGTGTACCCCTTCAGCGCATGCGTGAAAACTTGGGGATTCCCCTCGCACTTGCACTGTTTCAATCAAGGAGTCTTATCTATTTGGGTCAGGGGGCTTTACTTCATCCTCTCCTCTTCAGTTTCTCCTTCAAATGTCCTCTACAGACAACCAGCCAATCACAGAATACCAATTAAAACAGTTTATACAAGAAACTGTCTCTCCAAGGACGAAGCTCGTTTATCAGTGAACTTGGCAGGCAAAGAACAAAACTTTTGCAGGTGGCTGGGCCAAACACAGACCAAAAAATATCAACAATCCCTGATACACATGCCGAGCTTCACACTTCCCAATATCCCATCACCTTCCCTATTTATCTCTTTTGATAGATATACATATAGACATTCTCTTAGGCTATGGAACACCTCTGCAAATGTTCATAAAATGTCCACACAAAAAAAATGTTTGTTGAATTCATTTAGTCCATGACTTTGGCCTTCATCCTTAATAACAGTCTTTCATGCAGGAAAGATGGTGTGAGAGTCGGAATCCGGTACTGCTGCACTTGTTCAGTTTTATCAAAGTTCTTCATTGGTGTGAGACAATCAGAGGGAAGTCAGTCTCAGATCCCCAGAATGCTTGTGGTTAAGATTGATGCCATGAGGTGCTCAATGAGGTGATGCACACAAAACCACTGATGCCTCAGAGCTTTTTGGTTTTTTTCTTTTACAGATTTTAGAAGTAGATGTGTAGTGAATGTACATTTTAATGTAGCTGTATTATATCCCTTACCCTGTAACATAATGTTTACACATACCCAACCCTACCACCCCATTTCATATCAATTCCTCTAAAATTCCATTAGTGTGTTTAGTCTTCTTTTCAAGGTAGAATTGTAGAAAAACACCTTAAGGCCTGGACCAGAAGATATCACACAGACACAGTAACCCTCAAGCCCAGACCTTTGGAGGAGCTCCAAGGACTGTGTGTGCTGCAAAGAAGACAAGGATGAAGAAGAAGGGGTCCCAAATACCCCTGGAGTTTTTTTCTTCACGGTCTTTTAGGCAACAGTTTCGGCACCTGAAAAGTGGGACCTGTGACTCCTCCGGATCAGGAAATATCACCCCGCAGGAAATTCTTCTTTGACGGCATATTTTGGAGAATTACCGCACTGATCTTGAGAAGCCCAGTTCCTCAGAACCACACACACGGAGGTGAGGTAAAAGAGCAACTCCTTTGGGTAATTTTGCTAGTAGCTGCAAAGGGGTTTTCCCCAGAAATAGGGGAATATGGTAGGCTGGGAAGTGAGACTTCGGGCCCGTGTTTTTGCCAAAGTCAGTGTTTTCCCAGTCTGGGTGGAATCCAGGGACGATTAAAGGGGAGTGGGCAAAGGACCCCCCCTTGCAGCTTGGGTAAAGGCAGGGCAGGGAGAGTTGAGCCTACCACCGTGGTTACTCAGGGGTTTCGTATTGGCTTGGTACAGCCAGGAGGAGACTGACACCTTTCCATGCATTCAAATACCATGCCCTAGCCTGAAGTTTGTGGTGATGTTCGGAGAGGGAACTTCCGTGGCCGCGAGTTCAAATATGGTGCCAGGAAGTTTTTTCCTGTCTGGCAGTTGTCATCATGGGTTATGTTGAGTCCCAGGAGGAGGAGATCCCAAAAGAATCTCCTTTAGCCTTGGTTTTGCAGCACTGGAGGCATTTGACTGGCCCTGAAACATCTTTAAAGAGACAGGAGTTATGCAGGGTCTCTATAAATATGTGGTCTTTGCATGGGCTGCTCGAAGGGGAGACTTGGCTGAAGTTTGGCTCTATTCAAATGAATACAGTGTTAGAGCTTATGTCAACCCCTCATAAAGAGGAGCAATGGAATGAAGTAGTGTATGCCGAATTGGTTTTGGCCTTTTTAAGCTGTCCAGAATGGAAGAGAGAAAAAACGTTAGATAAAGCCCCAGCAGAGGCAGAGCTCTCAGAAATGGTTTTAGAGAGGTAAGAGGAAAGATCGTGGCAATTTAATCCCATCAATCAAACTTATGTTAAAAACCTGGCAGATGAAGATTTAGATATTTTAATGGCCCATGATTTGCGAGGGGAAAGCCCAGGAACTCTTGCTGGAATACTGTATTCATTTGAAACCAATTTGGTGTGTGTAGTGCTTTTAGTTCTCTTTTTCTTCTCTATGTAAATATAAACTGCCTTTTCTTAGTAAATCATGGTTTAATGTTTGGTGTTTTTTTCCTCTTCCCTTTCCCTCTGGAAAAAAAAGAGGGGAGGAGGGGGGTTAAAACAGTTTAGGTGGACACCTGGCATTCAACCAAGGTGAAAGAACTACACTCCTCAATTCCTCTACATGCCAAACTCTCCTAAACCTTTACTGTGTAGGGCTCTATTTCCACCCCCTACATCTTGTATAGGAGACGAGCCCCCAGATAGGTGACTCACAAAATGGCGTTTATTAAAACAAGGTGTCAGTTTATATAGAGGGGTACATAGAAGGGTCTCGAACAAGGGTGGGATTCTTGCCAGGGGCACGAATCCTAAGGGTTAGAGATAAGGGAAAATGGAGGGATTGGCTGCAGGGATATGTCCAGCCATATAGGGAGATTTGGGAGTTAGGGAAGGAAGGGAAGGAATGGTGAGGGGCACAGATAGGGGAATTCTGCAGGGGTCTGTGGAAGCGGCGTCTTATCGCTGGATCTCAGGCGCTTCCTGCAGTCGCAGCTGTTAAAGCACCTCTAGATCGATTTCTTCCTCCGAGGTTTCTTCGTAGCCTTTCTGTATCTGTCTCCATTCTCTGTAGGCCTCCATTGCTCCACCCCCGACATCTCCCCCTTTTCTGTTTTTGAGGACTGGGAAAGCTTGGGAAAAACTTTTAGTCATGGATTTTTTAACACAAAAAATTAGACAGGGAAGGAAGACAAGGATGGAGAAAATGATAATTAGAATTCTTTGATTTTCTGCTAGCAGGCTCTGAATGGCAAGAGAAGTGGCATTGGTTTCTTTGGCCATCCAGCAGGCCATGTGGGAAGGAAGGTGGAAGGCAGTTTAGTGGGTTGAGAGAAAAGTTTAGTGGGAAGAGGGTAAGGTTGGGAGTAATTGCACCGTGCGGTGGTGTTAGTATAGATGGAGGAGATGGGGGATAGGTTAGGTTTTAGGGTAAGGCGAATAGTAGTGGGTTTAAATCTAAGCGAAGTGGTAATTACAAATGAGCCTAAAAGTTCTAATTCTTGGGGATCTGTATCTAGGGTACCTAAATGTAGGAGGGTTTGGGAAATAGTGTTTGAAGAAGGAAGGAGATTATCTACGAGGGAGGTGTTTTGGATAAACCCGTTCTAGTCAGGAATACCCACGAGACAGCTTTTAAATGGATGACTCACGCTGTCGAGGGAAAGGCACATTGTATCAGTGTTGGTGGCTTTGGTTAGGGTAATCCAGACGTTTTCTGCTGGTCACTGCATCCAGTCTTGAAGCCACTCAAAAGGAAGTAGTCTTCGAGAAACAAGAAGTTAAAACACAAAAATGTAAAACACTACAGGAAAGCTTAGCATTAGGAAACCACGGAGGTAATAAATTGTCTGAGGGAACAGAACATGTTGATAAAAAGGATACTAAAACCATAAGATAACACAAAACAAGGAGATAGTAGCATCAGCAGATTTAGGATGGGCCAAGGTTACCAAGACCCTGCCAACATCACAAGGGAACTACCCAAATTAGGAAAGATTTGAGGAAAGTTCAAAAGTTTACACCGAGGAAGACCAACCAGATGATCACCTCCCCCGATGAAGGCTCCGGATCTCCCACCTCTAAACCTCCCCAAATTGAAGACTCCGCCCAGACTCCGCCTATATATGAATATTATGAGTAGATGTTGCAATGTAATGAATATACATGTATAATGATGTAATCCCTACTCAGAAATTGTATAAAAGAACTGCACTAATTGTTAACGACGGAGCTCTTTGCCCAGGGTGACCTGGAGGGCTCCTCAACGCGTTGCTAATAAAATACCTCCTGCTTTGAGCATGAAACTTTGTCTCTAAAGCAGTTTCTCTGTGCTTCTTTGGGGCAAATTCGGCATCAGTCTGGAACTGAGAAGGTTGAGGCAGTCTATGGTGGAACAAAGAGGTGGAGAATCAGGAGGGTTTGGAGTCCTCTAGGAAGGGCTTGATCCTTCTGGAAGGGACCCATCTTGGACCTGTATCAGTAAGTATGCATGCATGACCTCTTCCCCGGGTTATGATGGGGAAAGGCCCTAACCATTTGTCAGATACCAAGTCTTTGAAAAGTACTTTGGTTTTTTGAATAGGAACAGAGTTTGTTCTGGTAAAGTGTTTAAAAACTGGTACCTGTCCATTCTCAATCCTGTTGAGGAAGTTGAGGACGTACATGGCTTTTTGCAGACACTCGTGTGGGGAGAGGCCACTGCTCTTTCGTTTCTGCCTCTTCAACATGGATTTGAGTGTCTGGTGAGCTCTCTCAACAATTGCCTGTCCTGTGGGAGAGTGAGGAATACCAGTGCGGTGTTCCACGCCCCACAAGGCCAAAAACTCCTGAGTGTTCCTTGCTACGTAGGCAGGCCCATTGTCGGTCTTTATCTGTTTGGGTATGCCCATGTGAGCAAAGGCTGTGGTGAAGTGTTTCTGTACATCACGGCTCTTCTCACCAGAGTGTGCAGTGGCCACAATGTAATTTGAACAGGTGTCAATAGACACATGAACGAATTTTAATTTCCCAAAAGAGTCAATGTGTGTGACATCTGTCTGCCAGATTTGTAGTGGGAGCAAGCCTCGAGGGTTTACTCCTTCTGCAGGCAGTGGAGTGATGAGCTGGCAGTCAGGGCAGGCTGAAATGATGTCACGAGATTGTTTTTGAGTGAGGCCAAATTCTTTTTGTAGCGCTCGGGCACTCTGATGGAAGAAGTCGTGGGAGAGTTTGGCTTGTTCTAACCACTGTGGGACGACAGCTGACCCTGCCAAAAGGTCGGCTTGTCGATTCCCCTCTACTATTGGACCAGGAAGTGTGGTATGGGAGCGAATATGAGTGATAAAAAATGGTGAAGAGCGGTGATTTACAGTAGAAAGCAATTTTTGGAATAGCCGAAATAACTGTTCATTTTTAATTTCTCTGAGGTATGAATTCTCACACCGTTGGACAAGGCCCACCACGTAGGCCAAGTCAGAAATGATATTAAGGTTGTCTGGGAACAAGGACAAGGCACGAACAACTGCTGACAGTTCAACTAACTGAGGAGAATCTTGGACCTTGTGAATGTCTTGTTGTCAATGATCCCCCTCTTTCCAAACAATGACAGCATTTCCTGTGGTGCCTGAGCCGTCAGTAAAGACTGTTAAGGCGTTTGGAAGGGGATTAGGAGACCAATTGGATGTGTATTTAAGGGAATTTTGTCTATGTTTTGGATAAATTTGCAAGGGGGGTAATGGATTTTAATTTCACCCATAAAGCTGGATAGAGCAATTTGGAAGTCCAGGCTCATGATCAGGAGTTGTTCTAGATGTTGGGAAGTGAGTGGGAGGTAGATGTAGGCGGGATCTACACCTGCGAGTTCCCAGCACCCGGTCCTGCCCTTGTAACACAATTTGGTCAATAGTTCCGGAAGGGAAACTATGGTTTTTGTGAATTGGTGGGGGAGAAAGATCCACTCCCATAGGCACAGCTTACTGTTCCTGTCGTAGAGTTGGCCCAGTAGTGCGAAAGGCTGAGTGGATCCTCTCAGCACCACAAGAACAGCTTCTTCTTTCTCTAGGCGTCGGTGTACCTCACTCGCTATCTCACGGGGTGCTCTGGTCGCTGTCGGACTGGAGCGGGGTTGCAGCTGCGTCTCCCAGGACGGGGTGGTGGTGGTCCGAACACGGGTGGAGCGGGGCGCGTCTGCGGCGCTGGGCGCAGGGTCGGCGACCGGCGGTTTCGGCAGCGGCGGCGGCGGCAGCAGCTCCAAGCAGGGGGGTCGCTCGGACCGGGGGTTTTTTTCTTGCAGCAGCAGCGACGTGAGACTGTGTGGACCGGGGGTCCACGGATCGCTTGAGTGAGGCAGGGTCGTGGGGTGAGTTTGACTCCGGAAATCAAATGGCACCAGTAGCTCAGGTGAATCAGAGACCTTTCTTAATATAAGAAAGGGGAGTTCTGACCGCGTTGAGCGCCATTTATCGCGGGTGGGGTTTGTCCCCGCGAAGGACCCTCGAGCACATCTTGTATAGGAGACGAGCCCCCAGATAGGTGACTCACAAAATGGCGTTTATTAAAACAAGGTGTCAGTTTATATAGAGGGGTACATAGAAGGGTCTCGAACAAGGGTGGGATTCTTGCCAGGGGCACGAATCCTAAGGGTTAGAGATAAGGGAAAATGGAGGGATTGGCTGCAGGGATATGTCCAGCCATATAGGGAGATTTGGGAGTTAGGGAAGGAAGGGAAGGAATGGTGAGGGGCACAGATAGGGGAATTCTGCAGGGGTCTGTGGAAGCGGCGTCTTATCACTGGATCTCAGGCGCTTCCTGCAGTTGCAGCTGTCAAAGCACCTCTAGATCGATTTCTTCCTCCGAGGTTTCTTCGTAGCCTTTCTGTATCTGTCTCCATTCTCTGTAGGCCTCCATTGCTCCACCCCCGACAGATTTGTCCCATGGATGAATCAATATCCCCCAAATTCAGCCATTTGAGTGTCAAGTTGCTCAATCTAGCAGTTATCCAGGCACCAGAGGTTCCCACTTCTGCCCTATAAAGACTGTAGTGGGTTGACCTTGGCTGGATAGCAGGTACCCCCTAAAACCACTCTCTCACTCCCCTCTGCAACTGGACAGAGGAGAGAAAAAAAAACACAGCTAAGGATTCATGAGTAGAGATAAGAGCTGGGAGAGGTCACTTACTGATTACCTTCACAGGCAAAACAGACTCAAAGTGAGGATATGACAGGGTTTGTAGGGAAAAATCCTCTCTGTGCTCCGTCTCACAGGAACAGAGTTGCTGTGATGAGAATCCTGGTGCAGGCACGCAGCACAGAACCACAGAGCGTGCAGGCAATCAGGAGGCAAAGAGACCTTATTCAAGTTTCCTGCAGCTTATGAGGCTGCTGGGAGGAAGGGAGGGGCTCGGCTACTCAGCTAGCCAATGAGAGGGGATGGGAGGTTAACACTCAAGGAAAACCCAGGAACTGGGGAGAGACAGGTGAAACAACCAATGAGGCTAGGGTAGGGGCATGGGCTAACTTTGTGGGTGGAACAAACATGGCGCTGCCCAAAACAACCTCGTGTAACAAAGTGAAAGGGGTTTTTCTACACAGCATAGGGGACCCTGGCACAATAGATTCTCAATAGAGTTTCCTGTGTTGACTTCGGGAAACTGAACCCGCGTTGACTCTTCCTCTACAGATGCTGTTTCCAATGCGTATATTTGGTATCGTCTCTCACAAGGATATTACTTAAATTTATTACTAACAGGATAAGAGCCAAAGACTGAGAAATAAAACAATCTTAAAAATACCTTCCCCCCACCCCTCCTTCCTTCCATGTTCTCCCTCCTCCCCCCCAGCAGTGCAGGGGGACAGGGAATGGAGGTTAAGGTCAGTTGTTGTTTTTGCCACTGCTCCCGTGGGGTCCCTCCCACAGGAGACAGTCCTTGATGGATCTCTCTGGCCTGAGTCCATCCCTCTGGTAACTTCTTCACAAACTGCTGTCCCATGGGTCACTTCTCCATGGTGTGCAGTCCTTCACAAATGAGCTGTACCAGCGTGGGTCCCCCACAGGGGCCACAAGTCCTACCCAGGAAAAACCTGCTCCAGTGTGGGCTTCCCTCTCCATGGGCCACAGATCTCCAGCAGGACCCTACTCCATTTTGGGCCTCCCATGGGGTCACAGCCTCCTTCATGCATCCACCTGCTCCAGCATGGGCTCCTCCATGGGCTACAAGTGGGTCTCTGCACCCCAATGGTCCTCCATGGGCTGCGAGAGGACAGCCTACTTCACCATGGTCTTCACAGGCCACAGGGGCCTCAGCTCTGTGGCAGTGATTTCACGGACCAACCAGTTTGAGTGTAAACCAGCAAATCAGTTTAATGCCAACTGACCAACACTTTTATATCTTTCAATTACAAATGAGGTTACGTCAGCATAGAACACGTGACACTCCCAAACCAGTCATTCTTGAGCCCGTCCTGTGGGCATGCCAGTCAAGCACTTCATTGGGGGGGAGGGGGCCTACTGCAGAGACTATACTTCCCATCCTTCCTTGCAGCAATCTTCCTGTAAAAGCATGCCTCCTCAGGCAGGGACACATGAGAACCTGGTTATGGGGGCAGAAGAGAAGCCACCGTTTCCGCCACACAGTGGGAACAACATGACTGCGCCCATGCCTCCACGCTGTGGCCATGTGGTGGCGCTTCCACAATGGCCATGCGGCCGGGGTGAACTCACGGCCCCTCAGCAAACTCACAGCAGGGGTTTAACGGCTGCCCCTCTATAACGACCATGCAGCCTGAGCTAGGTAATGGCTCCTCAGAAACTGCATGCCAGAGAAAAAGCGGCACTGAATTAGGCAGCATGACATTCTCCTCCTACTGTTGGCAGCAGGAAGGTGGTACTGGGTCAGACAGTATGCTATCTCCTTTCCATTCTCCCTCCCTCCCCTGTGGTCTTCACAGGAAACAGGGGCCTTGTAATAAACTATATATATTTTAAAGGGATTTTTTGTTAAGTTTGATGTATGGTTTCCGTGTGTATTTCCCACATAGCTGTTAAATGCTTCTAACAAACTGCCGTTTGTTCCCGAGGCTGATAATGAAGGGGGGAAGTCTGGCAATGTAATTAACTACACTCAAGCTGACAAGCTGGAGACACCGAGAAGTTTCCTCTAAACAAGGAGTCAAAGTGATTTATATGTGCGATAAGCCTGGAAGGGGAGGAAAAATACCTATTAAATGCGCATGTTCCAAGCCGGGTGCAGATGGAGCTCGTTAGCCCTGTAAGGCAATCCATCTACATCCTAAGGACCTCGCTGCCACCGTCCAAGCTCGCTTGGCCCCGGCAGATGAACCTTAGGATTAAAGGGTGGGCTCAGTTCCGCGCACACTGTTTCTCACCTAAAAAAAATCCAATGCGCAGGCTGGAAGGTGTAAAGACCTTCCCCGGATCTTCGCTTGCGAAGACTGGCCATTATTATTCATCTGACGGGCATCGAGGAAGACTAAAAATCTTCATCGCAGAGACCCCGGCCCACAAAGAAACCCCCAGACCACCGACGCCAGTAACACAGCCCAGGAACATGTATGGGGAAAACTTTGCAAAAAGCACATGCCCTGGACTATGTATGAGTAAGAACCTAAGCACTGAGCATGTCTGGACGGGAACCTGGAGGGTTCAAAAGGCAAAGTTTGAGAGCTTGGGGCGGGCGGCGGCGAGCCGTGAGAGAACTTTGTTCTGTTCTGAACGCCCGCCCGCCCGCCCGCCCCCCGGCGTGCTGATTGTTTATCTACCGCTTACTAATAAATTTGCTTGCTATTGTAAATTGGCTTCTTCAATTTATTTAAGGCATCACTGGTAACCTATAACAGACCTCAACTCTGTGGCATTGATTTCACAGACCAACCAGTTTGAGTGCAAACCAGCAAATCAGTTTAATGGCGACTGATCAACACTTTTATACCTTTCAATTACAAATGAGATTAGGTCACCATAGAACACGTGACACTCCCAAACAATTATTTTCAAGCCTGTCCAGTGGGCATGCTCAGTTGGGCACTTCCTTCGGGGGGCCTGCAGCAGAGACTACACTTCTGATCATTCCTTGCAGCAATCTTCCTTTAAAAGGTTAACCCTTTCCCCACACAGCTCCGGTGCCTGGAGCAATGCCTCCCCCTCCTTCTGCACTGACCTTGGTGTCTACCCTGTTGTTCCCATGTTCTCACTGTGCTCTTCCCTGGCTGGAATTCTTTCTGCACCACAACCTTCTGTTCTTAAATATGTTATCACAGAGGTGTTACTATTACTCCTGATTGGCTTGGCCTTGGCCAGCAGAAGGAAGTCCATCCTGGAGCCAGCTGGCATTGGCTCCACCGGACAGGGGAAGCTTCTAGCAGCTTCTAACAGAAGCCACTCCTGTAGCCCCTCCCCCTCACTACCAAAACCCAGCCACAGAAACCCATTACACCTACAGTGATTAACTGGAGGCACTTAGGTTTTTTCTAGGAAGAACTTGGTAGGACAAACTAAAAGAGTAGGTTTATATTAGATATTGGAAATAAATTCTTTACTGTGAGGGCGGTGAAATACTGTGTGATGGTTTTAACACCAGCAGGGAAATTAAACTCCAAATAAACCACTGCCCTTCCCCTTTCCCTTTTGGTAAGGAAGGGACAATAAATGAGGTAAAATAACAATTTACTAGAAGCACAATAACAACAGCAGTATTAATAGAAAAGTACACAAAAGAGAAACAGCATTACCCACAAAAGGATATACACCACTGGGAACAAAAAAAACCCACTTCCTGAAGATATTGCCCATGTGAAGAGAGAACCAGGCAAGATGGTGAACTTTCAGTTTCCCATGTCCAACTTTTCCTGCTGAAACCACACTCCAGCAATGATGTGGGTAGTATAGAATAAACACTGTGGTCAAACACAGTACTAAAAACTCCACCCCCTTTCTCTGTAACCAGGACATTTTATACCCCTTATTCTATACAATACATGTCATGCCCCAATTTTATACCTTTCAACTATATACATATACATATAACTAAACACAGGTATTATTTCAGTAGTCACTGACCATTGCTTCTAAGATATCTGTTAAGTTCATTTAGTCCATGACTGGTATAACTGGAGAAGTCCATACTCATTCTCTCTGGTAGTTACAACATACAGTAGCAGTGTCATTCAGATGGGAAGTTGGGAAAGCACTGGGTAACTTATCAATTCCTCTGCATGCCAAAATCTCCTAAGCCTTTACTGGTGTAACAGGGTGAGTTCGAAAGGATGCCGAGATTGAAAACCAAGACTGCTAAAAGCTCAACAATAAACCCAATATTTGTTACAAAAGTTGCCAAGTAAACGGGAACCTGAAAGAAAGAGAACAATAAGAGAATGCGACACCCTACTCAGGCAGGTGTCACCAAGAAAGTTATCTTACCCACTCCCGATATCATAGGAACCTCTACAGCAGCTGCGTCTTTTGGACAGGTGATGGCTCACACGTGCAGGCGTCCCCGCTATAGACAAGTGGTCTTTCATGTGAAGCAAAAATCTCTTTCAACGCATGCATGAATACTTTGGAATTCCCCTCTCATATGTGCTGTTTAACTCAAGGGGTCTTATCTATTTGGGTCAGGGGGCTTTACTTAATCTTCTCTTCTTCAGTTTCTCTTTCAAATGTCCTCTAAGACAACCAACCAATCACAGAACACCAATTAAAACAGTTTATACAAGAAACTGTCTCTCCAAGGACGAAGTTCAAGTTTATCAGTGAACTTGGCAGGCAAAGAACAAAACTTTTGCAGGTGGCTGGGCCAAACACAGACCAAAAAATATCAACAATCCCTACAACAACTGGATAGGGCTCTATTGGAGAAATTAGAAGCCAAAATAAAATTCTGCAAGGGGGGGTGTTGGGGCCTTAGCAATTCTACATGACTATACTGAGTTCTGAAAAGGTCATGAGGTAACAGTAAGATAAACAAGAAACGGCCTGCTGCTACAAGAATGCAGGAGTCAGCAAAAGCAGAATGAGAAAAACAGTGATAACAGAAACCGTATGCAAATGTGGGCTTCAAAACCACAAATCGGTGGGTTACCTGAGGCGCGTGGACAGTGCGTGCTGACCAATCGTGATGGCGTGCTGTGCTCGTGTTCGCGTGAACAGAACTCAGAAGAATATAAATTGTACAGCCTAACAATAATAAAACTGGATTTGAACTTGCATCTTGTGGATGTGTGTGTGGTTCTTTCCCGCTCGCTTGTATGCCTGCAGCAGGGGGGAATAAAAGTCATAATCCCTGACAATAAATATATCGAGGCAGCTACCTTTTTCATAGAGGAGAACCACAGACAGATCCCCGCAGAGGTTGAGAATGCTGTCATCCCTATAGTGCGGGCTAGCGATTGTCCTGGGAGGTCCAAGCAAACAGAACCTGTAAGCATCACGCTCAAACCAGGAGCAACACCGGTAAGACAAAAACAATACCCCTTGAAGCTAAAAAACTGTAAAGGATTAGCACCCCTAATTTAAAAGTTTCTTAATTTTGGGTTATTGGTAGAATGTGAATCCAAATACAATACCCCCATCCTGCTGGCAAAAAAGGCTGATGGTAAGAACTATCGATTGGTGCAGGATCTAAGGGCAATCAACAAAATAACAGAGGATATATACACCCAGTAGTGCCCAACCCCTATACCTTATTGACCACTTTAACAGATGATTTAGGGTGGTTTACTGTGCTTGATCTCGAGGAGGCCTTCTTTTGCATTCCCATGCATAAGGACAGTGAGGAGCTTTTTGCTTTTGAATGGGAAAATCCTGAGACAGGGAGAAGAACTCAAACACCTGGGCGGTTCTACCACAGGGCTACAAGAACAATCTGACTATATTTGGAAACCAAGTGGCAAAAGAACTGGAGGACTGGAGAAGGCAGCAGCCAGAAGGAGTTGTCCTGCAGTATGTGGACGATATACTAATTGCTACCAAAAGCCGGGATGAATGCATGGAACTCACTGTAAGTCTTTTAAACTTTTTGGGACTATGTGGGTATAGAGTCTCAAAAGAGAAGGCACAAATTGCAAAGGCAATAGTCATCTATTTGGGACTTGAGATCTACCGTGGACATTGACGACTCAGCACAGAGCAGAAAGAAGCCATCTGTCATCTCCCAGAGCCCCACACTGTACAAGAAATGCAGGCTTTCCTAGGAATGGTAGGGTGGTGTCACCTGTGGATAGCTGACTATGGGTTACTAGTCAAACCCCTATATGAAGCACTGAAAGCAGCCAAGGAAGGAGTCGTGACATGGACAGATGAAACCAGAGCCGCATTTAAATAGCTGAAACAATCTTTAATATCAGCTCTGGCAGTGGGACTACCAGACCTAATTAAGCCTTTTGAACTGTTCACATATGAGCAACTAAATGTTACTCTGGGGGTACTGTCACAGACCCTGGGAAACCAGCGAAGGGCTGTGCCTTACTTCTCCAAACAGCTAGACAGTGTTAGCCAAGGGTGGCCGGGGTGTTTGAGAGCTGTAGAAGCAAACTGTTATCCTGATCCAGGAGGCCTGAAAACTCACCCTTAGGCAGCGCATTGTCATGTATGTATCCCATGCAGTCCAAGCTGGACTTGAGCAAAAAGGGGGCCATTGGCTGTCCCCTAGCAGAATGCTTAAATACCAAGCCGTGTTGTTGGAACAGGATGATGTTACTCTGAAAACAACATCTATTGCAAATCCTGCTATGTTTCTGTCTTCAACATTGACTGACAGTGTGCCCGAGCATGTCTGTTTGCAGACCATCGAGGAGGCCTATTCCAGCAGACCAGACCTGAAGGACGTGCCTCTGGAAAACCTGGACTGGGAACTGTACACGGACGGAAACAGTTTCCTGCAGGATGGTAAGCAAATTACAGGGTACGCAGTGACAACCAAGGACGAGGTAATTGAGGCGAAGAGATAAGGCCTTATGAAATATTATATGGGAGATCATATCAAGTTCCACATATTCCTGTGGACATTCACATGAGGGGGAAAGTTGATTTACAAAAGTATTTAATGGTTCTAGGTTCTACTTTACAGGAACTCCAGAGATTCATCCAGCTATCCAGACCCATAGGATTGGACCCCCCTGCTCATCAATTCCAGCCTGGAGACTGGTGTGACAGTAGGCATGGACCCACCAGTTTGAGTGCAAACCAGCAAATCAGTTTATTAGCATTTAAGTCACGCTTTTATACCCTTCAATTACAAACAAGATTAAGTCACCATAGAACACGTGATACTCCCAACCAATCATTCTCGAGCCCGTGCATTGGGCATGCACGGTCGAGCACTTTTTCGGGGACCTGCTGCAGAGACTACATTTCCCATCCTTCTTTGCAATAATCTTCGTGTAAAAGGTTAACCTTTTCCCCACATATCCCCCTTCTTTATTATAACAAGTTACAGAATGGTATAATTCTTAAACCTTTTTTAACATAAAGCAACCTTATCTTAACTAGCTATACAGTAACTTCACTAACCATTTAACTTTCATCAGTCTGGG